AATGTTTTAAAACATGATTTAAAACAATTCAAAAATCATTAAAAATCATTAAAAAACGTTTTTTTGCCATCCCTAATATTAACGCGAGGTTGAGTTTACTAATTTTCCCACACTTCTGATTGGTTCTATTAATTATTCACATTGTTATGGTACTCCGATAGTGAAGTGTGAGGGAAATTAGTAAACCCGATATTAACGAGGGTTGACTGTATACGTATGTTAAATTCGTTATGTCATTTTTCCGTTATTATTACGTTTTGAACTTACGTACTAAGTCCGCATCTTTGTGAACGATAACATTTAGAGTGTTAGCAACACAAGATGTGTGCTGTACGTACGTACAAACGATAAGCACATCGCGTGGCATACTGATATAGCTATCAAGAGTCACATTGATGAGCCAATAAACTTAACTGAGTTAATCTAAAAGATTGACTTTCGTCTGATTTGCGTCCCGGCAAAAATTTCGATCAGATAAATTTATAATTTATAATCCTGCATATCAATATTATTTTATTTTTTGAACAGGGAATAATGCTTGCCCGTCAACTGTCAAAAACGTTATGTGTAAGAGTCAAGGAATTTTGTCTTATCTGCACTTTACTTCTCGCTTTAAACATTCATTATTTTGACTAGGCCGCAAGGAGGGTATATACACGTAACTATGCACAAGTGCTCTCCATTAGTAGTAAGAAGGTTCCTATGTCCAAATTTGAACCTGACAAGTACATAAATTATCAGAGAATTGAAGATAATCTGGCCATTGTGAAAAAAAGGTTGATAACTGTTGTTTCGCTTTCTTAATAAAATCATTCTCTTACAATCGATATTTCATAATTTTAGTTGCATAAGAATTTATATCTATGTTCAAAATTCTATGTGTACACCACTGTGTTTTTGAAAATAGCAGATAAAATCATGAGGACGATTCATGGTGTACACAATGAATTTTGAATAACAATAGGTTGATTTGACCTTATAATGATACATCATCATTCACTTGTTTCTTTTTAGGTTTCAACGTCCATTGACCCTTTCTGAGAAGATAGTTTACGGCCATTTAGATGATGCTGCTGGACAAGATATTGTCCGTGGAACTTCATATCTTAAATTACGACCAGATCGTGTCGCTTGTCAAGATGCTACCGCTCAAATGGCTCTTCTTCAGTTCATGTCTGCTAATATGCCGGAAGTTGCTGCTCCGACAACCGTTCATTGTGATCACTTAATTGAAGCTCAAGTTGGTGGTCCACAAGATCTTGCGCGCGCAAAAGAGATTAATTCCGAAGTATATAAATTTCTGTCTTCTGCTTCTGCTAAATATAATATTGGATTTTGGCGTCCTGGCTCTGGTATCATTCATCAGATCATTTTGGAAAATTATGCCTTTCCAGGTGGTCTAATGATAGGTACCGATTCTCACACACCAAATGCTGGTGGGTTGGGTATGGTTGCTGTTGGTGTCGGCGGTGCAGATGCCGTCGATGTTATGGCTGATCTTCCTTGGGAATTAAAATGTCCAAAAGTTATTGGTGTTAAATTAACTGGTTCAATGAGTGGATGGACTGCTCCTAAAGGTCTTTATAAGGTGTTTTTAGAATGAATTTGGTTAAATAATTTCTGCTAATTTCTAATTGAATAACCTAAAATTATATTATAATTATAGATGTTATCCTGAAAGTTGCTGGTATTTTGACTGTTAAAGGAGGTACTGGTGCTATAATTGAATATTTTGGTCCCGGTGTTGAATCTTTATCATGTACGGGTATGGCTACAGTCTGTAATATGGGTGCCGAAATTGGTGCCACTACATCTCTTTTCCCATTTAACAAACGTATGGGTGATTTCCTTCGTGCTACTCAACGCGGTGAAATTGCTGCTTATGCCGAGTCATTTGCTCACAATTTACGCGCTGATGAAGGTGCTGAATATGATCAATTAATTGAGATCAATTTATCTGAACTTGAGCCTCACATTAATGGTCCATTTACACCGGATCTTGCCACACCTGTAAGCAAATTTAAGGATGCTGTGATAGAAAACGGGTGGCCATCAGAACTTAAAGTTGGTTTGATTGGTTCATGCACTAATTCTTCATACGAAGATATGACTCGCTCCGCTTCTATCGCTAAACAAGCTCTTGATCATGGACTTAAGGCCAAGTCTATATTCACTATAACACCTGGTTCTGAACAAATTCGAGCAACCATTTCACGTGATGGTCAGGAAAAAATATTAACTGATGCCGGTGGTATAGTTTTAGCAAATGCATGTGGCCCATGCATCGGTCAATGGGATCGTCAAGATGTTAAGAAAGGCGAAAAGAATTCAATTGTTACTTCATATAACAGAAATTTCACAGGTCGTAATGATGCCAATCCTGCAACTCACGCCTTTGTTACTTCTCCTGACATTGTCACTGCGATGGTCTTTGCTGGTGATCTACGTTTCAACCCTCTTTCTGATACTCTTATTGGTGCTGATGGAAAACCATTCAAATTTGATGGTCCTAATGGTACCGAGCTCCCTCCTCGAGGGTATGATCCTGGTGAAGATACATATCAATATCCTCCAAAAGATCATGTTTCAGTTCAAGTACAAGTAGATCCCAAAAGCAGTCGACTTCAATTATTGCAACCATTTTCTAAATGGTCTGGTAAGGATATAGAACAGGCACAAATTTTAATTAAAGTTAAGGGCAAGTCTTATAGTAAAATTGGGTTTAGATACTCGTTTCTTGTATTTTTTCGTTTTGTCTCTCTTTGTTTTTCGTCAGGCTGATCCGGGTTGATCAAAACAATCAAGTTTATTGGCCACATATTACGTAATTGCACCTGCTTTAAGGGTAGAGTATATGTAGATTATTTTGTCACCATATTAAAAGGGTTTATTTTTACAAATTTTTGAAAAAATGAGTTTTTGTTAGATTCATGCTTGACATTTTTTAATTATAAATGAAGATGATAGTAAGTATCAGGTAAGTAGCTATCCCTTAAACTGTCTAGCAGACAAATTTGTCTGTTTAAATAATTTTTCAAAATTTATTTAAGCTTGTTTTTTTTATTTATTCAATAAAATTAAAGATATCTCTTTTATAAATAATATATTTAAATTTTATTATTTTATTTTTAATTTTGA